CTGGAGAACAAAATGACAGCAACTTGTTTGTTCCCCTTCCCCCAATTCCCCAGCGTTGTTCCCATCCCCCCAATTCCCCAATTAAAAAAAATAAAAAATCTTAAAAAAAAAGAAATAATGTAAGATACAGCATAGAGACTATAGTTGATAATATTTGTAGTAATTATGCATGGTCCCTGGTGGGTACTAGACTTATTGGGGTGATCACTTTGTAAGTTATATAAATGTCTAACCACTATCCTGTACACCTGAAAGTAATATAATATTGAATGTCAACTATAATTGAAAAAAATAAAAACTAAAAACAAATTATGTCTCCCCCAAGATCCCAAGTTGTTGTTTTCAAATTGCAGGAAAAAATTATTGAACTAATAAAACAGCATCAGTAACAGACATCTTAAAAGGTTACATAACAGTCCTTTTACTATATTAAATCAACTATAACTATAATGTGGTTCACTAATTGACGCCCTTACAGAGCACACAGTAGGTGGGCTAATTCCTTGGAGCCTGGTAAGGTCCTGGGAGCCCTGCACCTATTCCTGGCCACAGGAGCTGCATTTGGTTTGCTCCAGAGCTCTTAAGGCACATGGCCGGTGGTTTGGTCCCTATGGTACGACGAAAATGTCCATCACAAACGATGGTTCCCCCTCCCCCCAACAGGCCTACCTGAAAAAATATGGCATTGCCATCAAGCCGCCAGAAGTTGGTTACAGGGTATCCGCTGTGCCCGCGACAGGGAATCAATTCCAAAGCGGAATGACAGTTGGGGCATGGTTTCTCTGAAAAGCCAGAAGGGAGAAACTTTAATAACAGTCCAGGTCGCTGGACCTTTTGACGGAAGAAAGGGGAAATTAGCTGAGAGGAAGGAACTCAGGATTGCAAGGCTGCGCCCACCCCAGGCCCAGGGCCTCACTCTGCTGCTTCAGCCGCGCCTTGTCGCAGATGGCGGGGCGCAGCTGCAGGCGGGAGCTGTCGGGCAGGGCGCAGGCCCGCGCACACACCACCACGCCCAGGCACGACTTCTTGAGGATATGGCCATTGTGGTTGTTGGTGTTGCGCATGGCCCAGCCGCTCAGGTGGTGCTGTGCCTTCTTCTCGTCGCTGCGATAGATGAAGCGCACATAGCCATCCGGCCACTCGCAGAAGCGGTCGAAGTGGGCTGGCTCCTGGACAGGTGCACAAAAGAAAGGGAAGTCAAGTTTATCAAGCCCAAACTCGACATATCGCGCTTTTAATTTTATCTAAGCACATTAGAATAAAAAATGGTTCTTTTTAAATTCAGAAATGTTGTAAGGGCCAGCGGAGTGGCATGTTGGTTAAGAACTGGCTTGGGATTGCCAGAGTGCTCTGGTTCAGATCCCACATATGAGGGCCAGTGACACTGCCCTCTGCAGCTAAGATGGTGAACGGCAGCTTTACCTGGGGCTGGGCTGCTGTGGGACGCTGGCGACAGCATAGGCTGCAGTCCCCTGCTGCAGTCCCCTGCTGCAGTGGGCTGCCATAAGCTACTGTGTGTAGCCGGCAGCCAGCGTGAGCAGCCAGCAGCTGCCATGAATGGCCGCCCAGAAGCCTGCGACTGATCTGCCTCGCCAGGGAAGAGCACAATGATGGTACCAGCTTGGGCCAGTGAAGTGACATTCCCCACAACTAGACTGAAGAACAAAATGACAGCAACTTGTCTGTTCCCCTCCCCAATTCCCCAATAAAATCTTTAAAAAGAAAAAAAATGTTGTAAAACTCAGAAACCATGCCATCACAAAAATGCTACTCATTCTGTCTTTGATGGCTTTCTGACAATTAGCTAATTGATGTTTATATAGTGCTTATCTTCTTAATGCTGTACATGTATCAGTTCGTCCATACTTCTGTAAGACACACAGACAATAGGTAATATTATCCCCATTTTACTGAATAAGGAATGGAGGCCAGAAAGGTTAATTGACTTACCCAAGGTCACACAGCTAGTAAGACCTAACTCTAGGATTTGAGCCTTAGCAGTTCGATTCCAGAGCCTGTTCTCATTACTACTATGTTATACCACTTCTTGTGTATTTAAATGTTGAAAACATTTTCAAATTAAGTATCAAAGTGCCAGGGCAAAAAGCGATTGGAATGCTCTCTCCCTGACAGTCAGTTGAGCCTGTGCTTCAATCCAGCACTTTTTCTTCAAAAGCTCTTGGCTTTATCTTGAACCTGTTGGTCACACCTGTCAGTGACATCAAGAGCAACATCAGAAAGGCAAGAACAGCTTTCCTTGCTCCTCCCCATTTAGCTCTCCAAGTTTACAAAGACACTGTGATGAAGGGCATAAACACCATGGTAAATCCTGCTGAGCACTGAACCTCTCTGTCCCCAGAGTAACATGGATAGTTAATTCTCTACAAAGAGCCACAAGGCTGCAATAGTAAGTTACGTCTAAAATACTGAGCACTGCTTTAATATTTCAGGTTTGGGGTCATTGTCCATGTTTTGCATTATTTACACTGCAATGTCTTTCTTATACATAAGTTTACTATAAAATTACCCTTTAATTAGCACTTACTATTTGCCAGGTACTCTTTAGGGCAGGGGTTGGTAAACTAGGAATTGTGGGTCAAATCCCGCCTGCCACTTGTTTTTTAGCATGGCCCACAAGCTAAGAACAATTTTTATACTTTTTAATGGTTGGGGAAAAATAAAAACAATTATAGTTTGTCACATGAAAATTATAGGAAATTCAAATTTCATTATCCATAAATGAAGTTGTATTAGAATATGGCCATGTCCATTCGTGTCTGCATTGTCTATGGCTGTTTTCACACTACAATGCAAAATTGAGTATTTGGGATGGAGACAGCATGGCCCATAAAGCCACATTATGCGGTACGCATAATCCTCACAGCAACCTTGCATGGGCATCATTACTCTTATTTAACAGATAAGGAGGTAGAAGTTAGAGAACTTTCTACAGTGGCATAGCTGGGATGTATACACAAGATCTGTGGCAGCTAGGTCCCACTGACTTTACTGGTATGACAGAGGCTCAGAAGCATATTATCACAGTAATAAGACATTTGCACCTTCTCTCCCTTCTGTCCTCCCAGGAAAATTCAATCCAACATTTGCAAAGCAAAAGTGTTGTCAATTGGACAATTCATACTTGCGTACATCATGAATGTACATTCTAACAGTAATAGGTAAAGGTGCAATTTTGTTTCCAAAACCACAGGGATATTGTTGAAATCATTATTATTACTAATAGGCATTATTGTCTTTTCTTGGAAATATTAGAATTGACATAAATTAATAGATTGACTTAAAGTCAGTCAGAAAGGAAATATATAATGATGTACTACCAACTCTAAATTCATACTAAATGTTAATATCTTTGTTAAATGAACATGGCAATTTAAGGACTTTAGTAACAAATTGACAATTTTCCAGAAGAGAAGATTCCCTGAGCACTGCCCTGTAAGGGTACTGATGAAGCCCCTAGGTCTCATGCCAGCTACCAAAGTACTGTCATTGAAAATGAAGCCACAGAGACGGTATTTTAAAATCAAAACAAGAATGGAGGACACCAGGGTTGGGTTTCATTTGCACTAGTGTATTGGCACACATGTGAATGAACACACACACACACACACACACACACACGAGACGAGCATGCACACACTAAACATGACAGTAGACTAGATTGTTATCAGGTTCCATCTCTTGATGACAGGTAAGTGACCTGAGACTAAGGCAAATTCAGGAACAATCTCAAGGCCATACAGCTAGGTTAGCTTTTTCTCCCTCAGTTAGCCAAAGCAAGGCTAGCAGGCAAAGTTCCTCCAGTTCTCCTTTTATAGTTCAATGTGCCTGTACCTTTTGAGATGCTACACATACTCTTTGATGAAGAACTAGTCTCCAAAAGGAAAAATAACCCACACTTACATAGGAAGTCTAGAAAAATGCTTGAGAGAAAAGCCACCTTTTCATTATTTAGATGCGTCTGTTTCTTAAAATGCAAGATTAGATTTTTTCCCCCATGAAGATTTATGTGGACCAAAGCCAGCGAGAAAGAGATGTCCTTGCTGTGGTGAGGTCCAGTTTCACAAAAATGGTACAATGTGATTCTAAAATATGCAGACTTTAAAACAAACAAATAAAAGAAATATGCACATCCAGAAAAACCTCTGATCTCTGAGAGGCTGCACAACCTTGCTAATGAATGGCTATCCATCTGAACTCCCATTTGACACATAGATGCCGAAAAACTGCCAAGTCTCTAATTCCTGTGCCACACCATTGCCACAAGTCCACCTTTGCAAATGCTTGGAAGGCCACTCTGACTCTCCCTCCACACACACACAGGATTTTGAAGTCACTCCTCAGTGTTCGTCCCGAATCAGTGTGACCAAGACTAACTGTCCAGTTCATTCCCTGGACTTGTCTCCAAACAACTTTGTTTCATTAAAACAAAACAAAACAATCTCACCTAAGAGGATGGTGATTTCCTTGTATTGTCATTAGAAAGTTCAGAAGTTACTTCCAAAATCCAGACAAAGGCTCCCTGGGAACCTATGGCCTGGTGAGCATGTCTGTGGAGCTTCCTGGGTGCTGTGCTTCATCCAGGCAGCCTAGGGCATCTGAATTGCCCAAGTGGTGCTACTTGTTTCAGATTCTGGTCACCACAATTTACAGTTGTATCTCACAGTTTTGCTGCGCGAGAAGCAGTGTACCTGCATTTGCTGAGATTCTCCACTACCTTTCTCATGGATTTCAAAGAATGGATAAAGAGAGACTCACCTGATTTCTACCTTCATTAAAGGAAAGTGAGGGACAGGTGTCCTGCTCCTGCCAGAAAACTGGGAATGTGAAGCCTGCTACTTTGGGTATGTTTTTAGACAAACGTAAGGAAAGAGCTGCTGGAAGACATCTCTAAACCCAGCTCTGTCCTTTGTAGAGTCCAGAAAACTCTGCCATTTGTACAGTCTCTCTACACTTGAGGGCTCAGGGGTGTGTGTGTGTGTGCGCGCG